CAGCCGCTTCCCCCCCTCTTCCAGCTCCGGCCCCCTCCTCAGGAGCCGCTCTTGGTCGGTGGCCGCGTTCTCCTCTGCCATAGCCGCTGTCTCGGAGCCCTCCGGAGCTGCTGGTAGCTCCTCAGGGTCTGCAGAGAAAGAAAAAAATTGGAGGGTTTGTGTTTTTATGTGGTTGTTTATCACACCTAGAGGTTTGACCTGTAAAATAATTGTTGCCTGTGGAATAATTCCTTATTTTTTAACCCCTCAGCGTTCCTGGCAGAGCACAGGAAGGGCCGAGTGGATTTAGCTCGGACAGCTTCATCTTACTCAAGTCTTTTTTTTTTTTTTTTAATTTTTTGCCCTCTAATGTAATTTCTAGGTATTGATGACCTATTTTTTCCCCACAGTTTGTCACTGAGAAGACCAAGACTTACTCTTATGTACATTAATTACCTTTTTCATCACATAGGATGTGTATTTTGTTTCCATGTCTTACAGAATAAAGCAATTATGGAACGTGTAACAAACTTGTCAGATATGGTGGTTGGGCTTTAATTTCGTAACGCCACGCTTAAAACTTCCATTTTTTTAACGTTTTTTTTTGGTTTTCTTCATGGTGTAAAGATATCCCGAACCTCTGTCTGTGTCCCTTTCCGCAGCAGGTTTTGAGACTAATTTTATGTCTTCAGCCAGCTCAGATGTGCTGTAAGAAATTAATTCCTGGGATTTTTTTTGTTGTTGTTGTTTGTTTCAGAATCCATCCAGTTTGGTGGAAATCATGGAGGAGCCAACGGGACCGGACAGGTTTCGATGGGCAGCTCTGGATGAGGAGGAGCAGCGGGCAGAGGAACAAGCACATCCCTGCGCCGAGACCTCCCTCCTTCCGGAGCTGCAACCAGCCCTTCCTCCATCTTCCGAGGATCAGAGGGGAACCAGGAGGTTGGTCATGAAAAGGAAAGTGCTGCGGCGCAGACCCGACGGAGGAGTAGAGGTCTCCGACGAGTCGGTGAGCAGCGAGCCGGAGAAGAGCCTGAGGCAGAAAACGCTCCACCGAAGTCTGGAAGACAGCATCTCCGAGGGGGAGATCGAGACGAGCAGCAGCTCCCTCGATGAATCCCCAGAGCGGTGGCCCCGTGGGGACAACGTCCCCTTTCTCCTCAGGGATTTCGGGAGCCGGAGCTCTCCCGCTTCTCTGTACACCACTGCAGCAGGACAACTCAAGTCCTTCATCCCTCCACGGTTTGAGCCACTGGGCCGGAACCGGGGCAAAACCGACCCAGTGGCCAAATATTTCGAATATAAACGTGAATGGGAGAAATTCCGAATCCCGGGAGAGGATCAGCGGCAAGAACTGCGCTGGGAGATCCGGGAGCAGATGCTCTGCAAGCCCGAGCCCCCCAGCAAGCCGCAGCACTCCTACGCCCCCAACGCCTACGCCGTGCCGACCGAAAAAAAGAGAGCTGCCCTGCGCTGGGAGGTGCGCTGTGCCCTGGCCAAGGGCCTCATTCCCAGAAAAAACACCTCCTCCTAGTTCCCTAAAGCCCCGCTCCACACGGACCATCCTTTAACCGAGTACTATTGGTTTTTTTTTTCCTCCTCAAAGTCCTCGATAACTTGGAAAAAAAAAAAAAAAAAAATCTCATTTTTGCGTTTCGAGCGGGTTAAATTCTGGCATTAAAACTTTTCCCGGCGCTCTGCTTCCGTACCGTGTCGTGCAAAGCTTCTGTCCGAGCTGAGGCGGAACGGGCACGGAGAAACCCAGCGGCGGCTCTTTTCCAAAATCAGGAGAAATTTGGAATATAAGGAGCCTGGTGATTTTGGGCACGCGATCATCCCTGGATTGTCGTGCGGGCTCTCCAGGCGGTTTTATTCACTTTAATAAAGCATGTGGAAACATAGTTCCGTGGGTTAATCCCTTGGGATCCTCGCACCACCCAGCTCTTGGCTCCCCTTGCCTTATTTTCACCTTGTTTTTAAAAGAAATGAGCTTTAGGATGAAGTGGAGATAATAATTTTTTTTTTTTTTTCCCCAGGTAGCAGGGTGGACTGAAAATTTGGCAGTTTTTCCGCAGGGAAACTCCATGAAGCTGCGGTGGGGAGAGGGGCTGGGGGCTCTCGACCCCACAGAAAAAGTCCCTGAAACCTTGGGATGGCTGGCAAAGGGTGTGGGAACGATGGGAAGCGGGTCTGAAGCCCTGTGCTGAGCTTCCCCCCAAACCTCTGGAGGGGAGCACGGGGGGATCCCGGAGGAAAACAAGGGGGATACACACATTTCACCCCAGTATGGGGACCCTGCTGCCACCCCATGTTGGGGAGTCCTGGCACCCCAAAGACCCCTCGGGGAGGGGGGTCCCTGGCTCTGCA